ACCCTTGCATTGCTTCTGAGTCACAGCTACTCAGTCTCAATTCGAAATTTGGCCAGACCACCACTGTAGATGATTCTCATCTGATTCCACCACCCCCCCCCCCCCCCACCCAGCATAGCCATATTTCAAAAATAAATTCAAGTAAGGATGCCAAAAGCCACTTTCTAAGATGAGTGCAGTCCATCACAGCTCCTGGGAATATCAGTCATGGAAGGGGAGCCTCTCCTCACTTTCTAGACCCTTCCTGGGCTGCATTAGAATCCCAGAATGGTTTGATGTTGAAGGCACCTTAAAGATGATTTAGCTCTAAACCGTTGCCATGGGCAGGGACACCTTCCACTAGACGAGGTTGCTCCAAGCACTGTCCAACCTGGCCTTGGTTCCAGGGACGGGGCAGCCACAACTTCTCTGGGCAATCAGTGCCAGGGCCTCACCACCCTCAAAGGGAAGAGTTTCTTGCTAATATCTAATCTAACTTTGCCCTCTGTCCTTTTGAAGCCATTCCCCTTTTTCCTGTCACTCCACTTGTCCTTAGTCCCCCTTCAGCTGTCTTGGAGCCCCTTTAGGCACTGGAAGGTGCTCAAGGTCTCACTGGAGCCTTCTCTTCTCCAGGATGAACACCCCCAGCCCTGAGTATCTTCAGGGACTTGTCCCTTGCCTGATGCTTTCCCCGAGCAGAGGAGCAGCTTTTGGCTTTCTGAGCAACATGGGGATTAGCAGAGGATACTTAAAACGCTATTTCCCATTTTTTTGGGGTGCCTGTACAAGCAACGCACAGGTGGGAGACTTCGGGGTGCCGGGCTGAGCCAGAGGCTGCTCCAGGGAGTTGTGCGCTAACTGCGTGGGGGGTTTGCTTCTGCTTCTGAGCATCCTTCGGGAAGGAGGCGGGGGGGCAGTCGGGGGTAGCCCAGACGAAGCCCTGGCTGCTGTCTGAGGCTGGGGGATGCAGGGAGGGGACAGCTGCCACTAGATGGCAATGCCGGAGCGGCGTCAGCGGCCCCACCACGGGCGGAGTGTGCTCGGGGGGGGGGGCTCTGGCTCACCTGGGAAGGGGCAGCCCCGTGTCTCTGGTGATGCCCCTGGGGGGCATGTCTGGGAGTGGTTGGGGAAAAAGCAAGGAGAGGGCTTGGATGGCAATATCAACGTGAGAATCTGTAGAATCATTTAGGCTGGAAAAAAACCTGTAAGCTCATTAAGTCCAGTTGTTGACCCAGCGCTGACAAGCCCGCCGCTCCACCGTGTCCCCAGGTGCCGTATACTATATGTCTTACAAATCCCTCCGTGGATGGTGACTCCACCACTTCCTTGGGCAGCTTGTTACAAGGCTTGACAACCCTTTTGGTGAAGATGTTTTTTTCCCCCGAATATCCCATCTGAACCTGCCCTGGTGCAACTTGAAGCTGTTTCCTCTTGACCTGCCTGCTTGTTGCCTGAGAGAAGAGACCAACCCCCACCTGGCTACAGCCTCCTTTCAGGGAGCTGTAAGGAGTGGGGAGGTCCCTTTTGAGCCTCCTTTTCCCCAGCCTGAACACCCCCAGCCCCCTCATCAGCCTTGTGCTCTGGACCGGAGGAGTGTTAGCCTGTGGTCGAAAACCAAGCACATCCCAAGCGCCTTCCTGTCCTAGCACCACCTGTTCCCTTGCCTTCTTGGATTTCCTTCATTCAGAGAAACCCAAACAGCCCCATATATCTGGCTCTGGATCCCTGTGCTGTGTTGAATCATGCGGGCAGCAGCCACTCTTCTTCCTGACTCACGGATCCCAGTGTGCTGGGTGAGGGTCAAGATGAGAACAGCAGTAAACATCCTGGGAAACTGAGCTTGCATCTCTTGGCATAGCCAGAGACTTGTTTTTTTTTTTTTTTTTTCCTTTCTCCTTTGGCTTTCAATCTTCCCTTAAGGAGCTGCTTTCTCATAAATATCCCATCCTTTAGCACTGTCTGAGCAGGAGAGTCATCCTGTGCTCTGCTCCGCAGCAGCAAACACAGAGGTAAGGGATTAACCCTGGGTTCAGAGAATAGCCCACTGCCCCAGCAGAGATGTCCAGCTAATGTGTGTATTCCTGTTTTGAGGGGTCAGGAGGAGGAAGGCTGCCTTCCTCCCCCTCAGACCCTTGCTCTGAGCCAGGGAGGGGATGCAGAGGCAGTCCTGGGTCTGTTGAGGACCTGGTGACCACTCACAGCTTGAGCATTTAGGGTGGGTGGGATCTTGCAGCACAGGTTTAGGGGGTGGGAGAGGCCTTGGGGGGCCGGGAGGAGCAAAAGCAGGATCTCTGCAAGGCTGAAGATCTGCTCCTGGCAGTCTGCCCAGTCTCAGGTTTAATTAACAGTGACTTACAGGTTTGAAAGGTGGGAAGAGTTTCATTGCTCCTGATGCTGCGTTGGTGGTGGGGAGGAGGAGGAAAATGGGATGAGCCACAAATCATAATTGATTCGTTTAGGGCAGTGTCTTGACTGAACTGAATCGAAGGGACTGTAATTAGTTGGTAACTGGTGTGGCCACCTCACTGCCTGCTGCTAGTGGAAGGAAAGCCCAGGGTCATTCTGGCTTGGCTGGTGGCCTGGGAAGTGTTTTGGGAGGAATGTGCCCACCCCTGCTGCACTCTGCTGCAGCGTAGTGGTGATGTAGCTGGGGACTTACCGAAACCCCCCAAAATGACACCCATTTTGGTTATAAGGCTAATTGTAGGCACAGAGTCATTAGAGATGCAGCAGATGGGCATTGTGGTGAGCTGGTGGGGCTCTTGGTGCCTGTCTGTGATACTACAGTCTGTTTTGCAAACATTCCTCTGTTTATGTTGGGGACATATCCTTCCTCTTCCTCACCCGGTCAGCCACAGGGCTTCTGGCAGTGAGAGCCTGGGACAAAAAGCACACCTTGTGGCCCTTTGGTCACAGTGGTGCCTGCAGGGAGGAGAAGTGCCTGGTGAAGTGCTGCCAGGCTGCACCAAGGGAGAAGCCCTTGCCCAAATGAGTTACAATTTATGTTATTAAGGGCTTGATTTTTTTTTTTCCTTTTAAATTTAAATGCCTCAAGTGTTTCTGGCTGCCCCACAGCAGGTGTGAGGGATGGGGCAGCAGCCACTGTGATCGCAGAGTGGTTTGGTGGTGGTGTTGTAGACAGGGGAGAGGAGCATCTTGGGGACACAGGGTGCCTTGTGACACCAGCTGCAATTGTGGGTGCTCTGCTTGAGGCAAAGGCAGGCAGCGAATGCTGAAGGCCCTGGGGAGCTCTTTGACCTTGGGGTTCAGTGGGAGGGGTGTGTGGGGGATCCTGTGTGTGGAAAACAGCTCCCAGGGTGTGCAGAGCAGCGAGGCTGTGACCTGCCAGGCGGGTATGGAGCACTTGGGGACATCCCTGTGGATCTGCAGGTGTACCCTGCGTGTGCCAGGAGGGCAGGGGGGGGTCCCCCAAAGGTGGGTGGGCAGGCAGTCCCTGCACCAGGGCACAGCCCAGCCCAGGGGACCCTGGGCATCCTCGGGTGACCTTGGCACATGCAGGGGTGCAGCAATAGCGGTGCCCCCAGTCCTCTGCCCATAGTGAGTTGGCTGGGTGGGGAGCAGGGTCAGAGACACCTCCCCTCCCCTTGGCAGCTGCTGCAGGGACACATACAGCCCGGGCTGTTTACACCTCTCCGATGAGCTGCTACTGCTTCTGGCCAACGTCATGTGTCAAACAGAAAATACCGAGTTGGGAGGGGGAGGGATGTAAAGAAGGCTGATCTGTATGCGAGTGAGCAGGAGGGCTCTCCCCGGGCACCCACTGGCGACGGGGCGGCTTCGGCGGGGAGCCTCGAGCCTCGAAGTGTCCCGGGGATGGGGGGAGGACAGTGCATGTGGCCGGAGAGATTCTCGGTGCGGGCTGAGATGGGGTGGGGAGGCTGCAGACAAGGGAGCCCCCCTTGCCCCCCGGTTTAGCCACTCACCTAGAAGCACCCGTGTGCTGGAAAGCCCACTGCAGCCAGGGCGGGAGGAGTGCTTCTGGTAGGGTGAGGGCTCCCCCATTGCCTTTGTTCCCTTCAGACCCACCCCTCGACTCTGATTCTCCTTTGCGGCAGCTCCCGTGCTTGCCAAAAGAACGCACTGGATGGAGCGAGGGAGCGAGCCGGGCGTGTTGTGCGTGTGTGCGCTTGTGTGCGCCTGTGTTGCCACTGACTTCATTAAAGCGAGCTGTCCCCGAGCTGCAGAGGCGCGGCAGCCTTTAATTTCGTAGCCCGGTTCCTGCGGGAAGCCGACGTCGCCTTACGCGCTCCTGCCCTGGCAGCGAAGGGCTCAGGATCGCCGGTGCCTGCCTGGGGGCTCTGCCCTCCATCCCTGCCCGCTGCCCCAGGGAGCCAGCAGATGGGTGGTCGGGCTCACGCAGGATGCTGAAGATGGAGTCGGGAGGAAGGAGTTGGACACTTGGCTCCAACTGAGCCGGAGCACACTGCAACCTGTTCCCCCGGCCTCGGCTGCTGCGCTGGGTGCTGCACCGAATTGTGTCTTCTTTGCGATGGGGTGGATGAAAGGACTTGGATCCCAGCCCTTTCCCTTCCTGATCTCTGCTTGCCTTGAAGCGGGGGGGAGGAGGGGGTTGGGGGGTGGGGATTAAAAGGGGCTGGTTTGGGCTTGCAGGCAGAGCGGTGGGAAGGATGTGGCTGGGTTTAACCCCTTGCTTCGTGGTGGAAGGTGCTTAGGGACTGAGCCGCTGCGGCCTCTGGCGAGCACGAAGGCGGGGTCTCTGCCCTCCCTGCTGCCCGAGCGGCCGTTCTGGGGGGGCTGGAGGCAGCGGGATGCCTCTCATGCCGTGCCAGAGGCACTGAGCCGGTGCCGTGCCTTGCCGCCTCTCCTCCACGCGGGTCCCTGCTCCCCTGGAGGGATGGAGGAGAGACGGAGCTGAGCATCACCCGGAGAGAAGGAGGGGGCTGTGGTTGGGACTGCGCCCCGCAACCCCCTCCCTCTTCTCCCCCACCCCCTCGCCGCCTCGGTGCTGCTGCTTTGGCTCACCTGTGTGTTTCTTGCAGGATGGCTCGCTTTGGGGAGGCAGTGGCTGGCAGGCTAGGCTCTGGAGATGGGGGCTCCGACCAGAACCGGAGCCGGCAAGGAGCTCCTGCCCCTGCAGGAGGGAGCCCGGGAGCCTTCAAGCAAACCAAAGCGCAGAGAGCCCGGACTATGGCTCTGTACAACCCTATCCCTGTCCGGCAGAACTGCTTCACCATCAACAGATCGCTCTTCCTCTTTGGGGAAGAGAACATAGTCAGGAAATATGCCAAGAAGCTCATTGACTGGCCATATCCTTTCTGCTCCCCACTGTGAGCCCCCCCTTGCTCCCTGGATTTGCCTCGGTGGCCGCCCAGGACACGTGCGTGTGGCACTAATGGCAGGTAAGGCGTGCGGAGAGGGGTTCCCCGTCCCCTGGGGATGCTCTCCTCGCCCTGTTGCTGCTTTACCTCCTCTGCTCTGTGCCTGATGGGAGCTGAGCTCTTTCTCCCTGCCGGGAGCCCCCCAGCCCCTTCTCAGGCTTGGATTTGTTAGCCCCCCCACGTTGTTGAGGAGGGGTGCTCTGATCCCAGTTTAACCCTGCGTGCTTTGCGATGCTCTGTGCGTGTGCCTTGGGAGCGGGTGGTGGTGTCGCGGCCTCTCCCGTGTGCCTTGATGCCTTGCTGGAGTTTTGTCACCCCACCCCACGCGGAGCCACCCATCCCGTTGAGGGCAGCTCCACGGGAGCCCATGAATCTCCAGTTGCTGCTGGGTGGCGGCTCTGTCCCTCCTGTGTGTGCCCTCTTTGCTGCAGATCACTCCTGGCTGGGGCACAGCCATCCTCACCCTGCAGCCCCCAGCCCCCCACGGCAGCTCTGGGAACTGGCTGCCCCCTCCCTGCGGCAGAGGGAAGGATGCTGAAAGCCTCTGTCTGTGCCCCGTGGCCCTTTTGGAGAAGCTGGCCCGGGGATCTGTGATTTTTATCCCAGGGATCCCCCCACCTCATAGGGCTGGGTGGTGGGTGCCAAATATCCCCCCTGCTTCCCCAGCTCCTCCATCCTTTCATACACCCCCACGCACTTCTCTCTCCTCCCACCCTCCCTGCGGGTGCCCCGGGCGCCTTGGCCGGCACCCAGCACCGCAGCACCCAGCCCCTCATCAGCCTGGGCTCAGTGCCCTGCTGCCCCCTGAGATCCCTCCTGGGCTTTGCCCCCATGGAGGGCCTGAGCCTAAAAACTTCAGTGTGGCCACGCTTTGGCTGTAGGACCCTCCCTGTGCCATGTTCTGCAGCAGTGATTCCATGCAGCTCTCGCCTCTCCTGCTCTCTCTGCCCGCAACTTGTTGGTTGAGTTACTGGCTCCTCCAGCGGGCATGGAGAGCTTTCCCTGGTGCCAGGCAGCAGTGCCTTGGTTTGGTGCAACAGGTACCTCAGGGAAAGGCCTCTGGTAAGGCAGGGGGATGCAGGACAGGTCACCCAACCTGCTGAGCATCACCCAGGAAATGCCCCTTTGCAGCTCCGATATGTCAGGCCAAACCTCTGCAAAGCAGGAACTGGCCCTGGCTGGGGAACTGCAGTGTGCCCCAGGCTCGAGGGCATGACCTGGGCATGCAGGGCCATCTTAGAGGGGCTGAATTCCCTGTGGCATCCCTAAATCTGCCCCTCCTGACAGCGCCCACTGGGTGGGTGGCTGCAGGTGCGTTGGTGTGGCGGCGAGGACGGGGACGTGGTGGCTCAGCGCGGAGCCCTGCAGGGCAGTGGCCCGGCTGGCTGCCTGCTCTTCCAGAATACGCCAAATTATTCATGTGCTTTTTTAGTGGGGTGTGGGAGGGCCCTCGCCCCTTTGGCTCTCGTTTAAAGCGAGAAGGAGCTGGGGTGCTGCTGCTGGCCTGGCACTCCCAGCGTGGGCTGGGGTCCCGTGCCGGCGTGATGTCTCATCTCCAGGCAGCCGCTGTCTCCTAGAGACTGGAGCTCCACGACCACGCGATAAAAACTCCCCAGCATTATTCTCTCCTGGAATTTGCAATGCATGAGGGAGATGGGCTCGTTTTATATATATTTTTTTTTTTTCCAGAAGTAAATGACATATTCCCGTGTCACTTACTGTGCTGGGAACAGGCGTGCTCCAGGCCCCGGAGCTGAGCGTTCCTGCCTGTCCTCCGCCTGGCTGCCAGGAGCTCTTTCCAAGAAACTCATCCACCCTGGAGTTCCTCTGCACCACTGGATTTTTGAGGGCTTGGGAGCAGGCAGGGCGTCTTTGTGATGAATTTTGGTTAGCTTGGTCTGGCAAGTTGTTCCCCTCCTTGTAGTTGTAGCCTGGCACAGGCAGCTGGTGCCTTTTGGTAGGGCCAGGAAAACCAGGCTGCCTGGCTTGCAGCCCATGGCATCGCTTCTGGATGAGGGTAGTTTGGGGAGGTGAGTGTTGGATCTTGGCCACGGTCAGTGAGAGCTGCAGGCTTTGGGAGGGTGATGGACCAGTCCCTGTGCTGTGGACTGGAGTGGGCACGGTACCGAGGAAAGCCAAGGGGGCTGGAGTGGAGCACAGAGAGGAGTGAAGGCTCTTCTTCATCCAGCTCCAGTTGACTAGGTAATAGGGCTAAAAATATCTGGTGATTCAGGCCTGGATATCTGCTGGGTAACTGTGTAATTATAACCAGCAACCTCTGCAGTTTGGCTTCCCAGTGTAAATAGGGATGATGCATGGAGGGGAAGGAGGAGAAACAGGAGCAACTAGGATTGGGATGCAGCTCCATGGGGAGGTAGGTCTTCCTTGCTTGGAAACCCCATGTTGTTACCTCCACTGGAGCTGCTCTTTTAGCCTGTCCTACCCAAAACAGTGAGACAGCTGCTATTTTGGCTGTAGGAACATTTCCTTCCCTTCTCCTTGAGAAACACAGCCTCGTCCTGCCTGCTCTCCTCCTGCTGATGGCCAGGCCTTTCGCTCTGATTTCATTTGTTTGGCTGCCTGGAAAGCTGCAATTCAGTTAGCACATGAGACGGGCTGCAGCTCATCTATATCTGCTCCGTTCCTCATCCACCTAATCGCATTTGACCTGGATAAGATCCCTCTCCCACCCCAGAAAGGCCAGATGACATTGTGTGGCTCTGGCTGCATCCCCAAGGACAGCATCTGGCTGCAGGCACACACTGGCCACTCTACCTGTCCCCGGATTTGGCAGGGAAGACAGATGTCCACTGGGACCTAGTTCCCTATGGTGAGGGATTTCTCTTATCTCAACCCTCTGAGGACCTAATGTGGTGTTGGGCTGGCCAAGAGCAACCCAAGTGCCTGCAGAGCCCGAGGGCGTGTTCCCAGTCCAACAGTCGTGGGGGTTTTGTTCCGTGGGAAGCACACCCGCGTGTGCCTGTATTGTTTTGCTCATGATGACTCTTGCTTAGACCTGACACTGTGTGGGCAGTGCCCCTCAGGGACCCTGGCAGTGTCACCTGGCCAAGCATCTTCTGTACCTTTGCTTTTCCCCGGCTAAGATTCCGGCAGGTCTCACTTTCCCGAGGGAAGAGCTTGCGCCATGTTGTGCCATCCTCGGGTAGCTCCGCTCCTTGCGCTCCCCGAGAATGTATTTTTTAAATTTTTTTTTTCTCCCAGGCTGTTTTCTGTGCCCTTCATTCATCGGATTTTGGATTTTTTTAAATTTTTTTTTTTTTTTGGGGAGGAGCGAGTAGGTGTAATGGCAGGTCTGTCTTTTTGACAGCCGGGGAGAGTGAGGCGGCCTGTCAGATGGTGAATTTAAACAGAGGCAGCTGTTGTCATGGTGATGCCAAGTTGCATCCTGTTGCTGTGGCAACCAAAGTTAAAAAACTGATGTTAAGGCAGGAAAATCACATGATGTCGCTCGTTTTTGTTTAAAAAAAAAGGAAAAAGAGGAGGAGAGGAGAGAGGTTTGATTTCCAGGGTGAGGCAGGGGAGAAGGAGACGCTTCTCCATGGAGCTGTTTGCACGTGTCAGGCAGACCCTGCATTCCACATCCTGAAATCCTTACAGGAGCAGCAGCAGGAGCAGTGTGGGTAGCTCTGCCCTTTTGGACTCCTGGCTGACACTGCCTTCGGTTTAACCCCTGATGGAAAGCAAACCACCACATTCAGCAATGCCTGTGACTGCAAAGAGTGAGCATGTCTGTGCAGTGGGATTTAAGCAGGCCAGGTGCTCCCTGCCAGCTGTGCAGGGACACGATCACAACCTCAAGCCTACGCTCGCTCTCCTGAACCTGTGTGTAACAGGCACATGGGAGCGGGCTCGTGTTTAAAGGGTAGTGGGAGGATTTGGGGTCTGGACATCACTTTCTGTCAACCCTAGCACAGCACAGATGGGCTGGGAGTTATGGGTAGCAGGATGCAGGGATAGGGACAGCCATGAGGGGTCATAGCTCTACGGCTGCTTGACAGCACTGGATAGTGGGGCTGGGGGATCCCAGATTTCAATTAGGAATACTCAGAGGCTTTGCTCTACTTTGGCACTTCTGGTTTTTCCTGGAAACTAAAAACCTCTCTTGCCCAGAGAGGTTGTGGTCTCCCCATCCCTGCAGGTGTGTTAAAGGCCAGGTTGGGTGGTTTCTCTGCCCACGGCAGGGGGGTGGAATGAGATGATCTTTAATTCTTTAATGTCCCTTCCAATCCAAACCGTTTTGTGATTCTATGAAAACAGCCTTGGAGAGGAGGTGCTCTCTTTCCTGCTGGGGTGTGGAGCTGAGAGGGAGGGGCATTGGGGTCCTAGGGGTGGGGGTGTTGAAGAGGTGGGTTTTTCTTCCTGTCTCACGATGTGGGACAGGCAGCAGTGCTGGGATTGGGACCACCAAGATGAAGTCCATGTGTGTGGAAACTGAAGCTCATTCTCACTGACACCTGGGAAGCAGGGAAAGCCCCCTCAGAGCAGCAGGTCCTTGGGGAAGCCTGGGGAGAGGTGGGAAATGGAAACATGAGTTTCTAGGTGTTGGAACTGAGCTGGATGATGCAGGTCAAGGGGTAAAATTGCTCCTGCTCTTCTTGCTGGCACTTGGAAGTAGGATTTCCCAAGGCCCCTGGGACCTCACTCCTCTGGCCCTTCTGCTCCTTCCCCACCTTCCTGCCCAGGAGTGGGAGAAGGCACTGAGAAATGGAGGGAGGGAGTGGAGCTCTCCATAGCTCCCATCCCTTGCCTGCATCTGGGCAGGGATTTGTCTTGTACCCAGCCTCTTGTGGAGATTGCATCAATGTACCATCAGCACCATAAACCTGTCTTTGGGGATGGGAGCTGGGAACACTCCATGCCTTAGCAAAACAGGTGTTCTGGGCAGGCTGGTTTGGGGTTCTGTCTGGGGAGGAAGGTGAAGAGGAAGGTTGCAGCTGGGAGAAAGGATCTGCTGGTGACCGAACAGCTCCCTGACAGACCCACCAAGGTGCTGCAGTTCCAGACTTGGGGTTAGTGCCTGCTCCAGGGGGTCTGGGTCATGGTTTGGGGGATGCCTATATGGCCTGGGGTCACTGTTCATACCTCCAAGGCACTGGGTAGGAAGCATGGAGCTGCAGGTGTGGCATGCACAGGGATCGGCCGAGTTGCTAAGGAAACAAGTCAACAGTTCAGGGGAGAGAGCATTGGGTAAAGGAGATAAATCAATAAGAAAACCTATTTTTATCGGCTCCCTAATGATATTCCAGGAGAAGGCAGACGAAGGAGGAGGAGGAGAAGGCTGGAGGAAGATGGGCTTTTGTTGCCAGGCTTGGAGGGAGGCTAGGGCTACTCTGCGTTTTGGATGGCTGGAAGGTTGTGTAATTAGACATCTAATGTGAGAGAAAACAAAGCAGTGACAGAGCATTGTCTAGTGGGTTCCAGCCCTGAGCTGGGAGGATGCTTGCTTGGCAGACATGAAGTGTGGGGATAAAATATCCCTTGGTTTAGCTAGATGTTCCTGCTGTCCTTTGGGAGGTTTTTCTTATCCATGGCCTCTCAAAGCCTGACACAGCTAGAGCTATGGGAGCTTGTTTCCACAGGGTTGATGTCTTGCAGCTCCCACATAGCTCTGGATGTGATAACCCAGGCTCAGCTCCTTGGAAAACAGGGCCAGTGGGGTTTGGAGAGTCACTTTTAGCAGTGACCTCGAGCTTAGGTCAGTGTTTAGGGAAACGATTGCCCTTTTAGACTCGGCCAGGTTGGACGGGGCTCTGAGCAATGTGGTCTAGTGAGAGGTGTCCCTGCCCACGGCAGGGAAATTGGAATGAGATGGTCTTTAAGGTCTCTTCCAGCCCAAACATTCCTTGATTCTATGATATCTTCTCACCCACATGCCATGCACTTGCTGGAGGGTGGAGCAGGGATGTGGTTCCGTGCCGGAGTAGGTGTGCACCGTCCCTGTGCTGTCGAACCAGATATCGGAGCCTGCAAGGAAACACAGGGGTGAGCAAAGCCACTAGAGGTGGTCCTGAACCACCCCCACACTGCTACCTTGGGAAAAGCTGGGTTTTTCCCACCTGGGTGTTTCCTCCATGGGTGTAGTGGCTGCGGTGGGGAGGAGTGTGGGATGCTTGGCGGGTTTAGCTGTGCCGGGGCGGACAGACGGACTTGCCGAGCAGTTCCCACACTTCTCATCTAGGCAAATGTGCCTGGTGCCTGGGGAGCTGGCTGCACTGCCCCACTAACACGCTGTTTTTCTTTTAGACTGGTGCTAATTGCTCGTAGACTTTTCAGGAAAATGATACAGAAAGATCCCAAACAGGCTTGTGGCTCGGGGCCAAACGCCGCGCTCTGCCCATCAGCTGGACCGTGAGGCCAGGGGTGGGAAGCAGGGAGAGGATGTGGCTTTTGCAGGAGCCATGCCGTGAAACCCCCACTTGTGTGTTAAGCCTCAGAGGAAAACTTTTGGGGTTTGGCCTCCCCCTCCTGAAGCGCAGGGAGCTGCTCGTGCTTTGTGCCTGGCTGGCAGCGCGGTGCGAGCCGGCAGCAGTGAGCTCTGCAGCTTCTCTCTTCGGGTTTGCCTCTAAATTATCAACCATTAATTTCACTGGGTGGCCTTTTAAATGCCTTGGCTGAATCTTTCCTGGCTCTTCTTCCTACTGGGCTAAATACCTCCCAGCTCCTGCAGGCTCTCCTTGGCTGTGCCTCCTGGCCAGCTCTCTGGGGACCTGCTGATGCCCATCCCTGCTCCCACCTTGCAAGCATCACTGCTGCCAGGGTCACGTCATGGTTCCCTGTTTTCCATGCTTGTGGCCAGCACTGGGGTGCGTTCTCTTGCCCATGGGCTCAGGGCCGCTGGTTTAAAGCATTTCACTGTAGTTAGTGGCCAAAAGGCAGTGTTGCAAAACACAAAATCACCCTTTTCCTTTTGCATTGGGCACCTCCTGGTCTGAGAGTTGTGAACGTGAAGGTGCTGGGCCTGGAGAGGCCTGGTGTGGTAGGGAAAGGCTCAGCTGTTCTCTATGCTGGCTTGGGGTGGTGGGAGTGTGGATGATTTCTTTACAGGCAAATCCATCCCTGTGGGATCATATCCCCTTTCCACAGAGATGAGCTCTGGGAAGGTGGCAGTCCCCTCCCGGGGTGGCTGCTGATGCCAGTGGTGACAGTAATTGAGCAGTGGGTTTTTTGCATGGAGGGAGTGGAGCAGGGATGTGCTGCCTGCTGATGAATCGCTCCACATTTTGTTACTGAGGATAACAGGGCTTTTATTGTGAAGATGTGGGAAAGATGGGTGGGAAGTTGGAAAGATATGGCTATCCTGTCACTTGGAAGTGCTTTGTTTTCAGGGCTTGGCAGTGGGCCAGGCAGGAGGAGGGAGCTCCATGTCCTTGCCTTGATCCCATGAGTCAAAAGGCAGGTGGGAGCTGAATTTGGGGTGCTTTCTTGGGTGTCAACCTGCCCTTTCCTTCCCCTCCCACTCAGGTCCTGAGATGCCAGCACCTGCTGCCTCTTGTCCAGCCTCAGGGTTAACTCCTGGAGAAGAGTGTGTAAGACCTAGACATGGCTGTAGGATTTAGGAAACTCATAAGTGTCCAACCAGGCCCTGTTGATAAGGTGCTGCTACCCCTTGGAGTCTTGCTGAGGTGTGGCTGAGCTGGGATGTCTCCGTAGGGAGTTTCCACCCTGCCTGAACTGCAGCTCAGCTCCAGCTGCCATCAGTGTCTTGAGCTAGGAATGCTCAGCCATGTGCTCTGCAGCTCCCAGGGCCCCCTGGGTGCTTGGCAATGGCAGGTCCACCTTGCCAGCACAGGGCACAGGGAGGATGGATCCAGGTCAGATTCCCAGGACCTGCAAGGGGTGCCCCATCTTCCTCAGGCAGTGCAGGTGGTCCCTCCCATGGGGATGCTTTAGGACCAGGGCTGCTGATAGCCTGTGACACCTTCCCTCTCTGAACCCTGAGCCCCATCTCCTGTTGCTTTGTGATAGAAAAGAGAGGGAAGGCAGCCTGGCAAACAGTGAGTGTATCATGCCAGGGAGAGCCTCCCTAACACTGCCAGGGACCATGGCAAACCCTCTTCCAGACAAAGCCCAACCTGGTCAGAGCTTGGCTGTCCCCCTTCAGACTTGTGCCCATCTTCTGGGCTACCACCAGGAGTACCATCTTTCTCCCAAGGGAGTTCCCAGCCCAACAAAGGCTGTTGGTTAATGACACATGAGCTCCGGAAGGAGGTGATGAGGCAAGGAAGGTCTTGGGGGCTCTCAGTTCTCTTGTTACCCCTCCCATTTCCAAGCAACACCAAGGTGGGCCTCAACCACCTGCCTGGGAGCAGCAGGAGGTGAAAGACAGGCTCTGTGTGTGCATGTTCCGGTGGGGAAGGTGGTGGTGGTGGTGTCTAATGAGCAGGTGAAATGCAGGGAGGGCTGGCGGGTTGGGAATGTCATCCACCTCTCCTCTGTTCCTTAACTCCCCTCCACTCCCTTTGAGTACATGATCCTGGCGACCATCATTGCCAACTGCATCGTGCTGGCCCTTGAGCAGCACCTCCCCGAGGACGACAAGACACCCATGTCACGGAGATTAGTAAGTACCCTGTGTCCATCCCTCTCTGCCCTGCGTCGGGTGGGCTGGTGGGTGAGCAGGGGCATCAGCCAAGGGAAGCCATTCAATCCTACCAGGCAATTTCTTCTGGTTTCAGGGTGGTAGGGCAGGAGGTTTCCTCTGGGACCAGCTCCTCTAGCCTTCCTGGGGCTGCTGTAATATATTCCTCCTCTATGGAGAGGGTTCAGGAAGGCTTTAAGCCCCTCAAAATGGGGTAGGGAAGGACTGGGTAACCTAGGGTGGCTTATAGTCACCATCTTTTTTTTCCCAAGGTTGATGAGGCTGAGGAAGGGCTGGAAAAACTCCCAAAGGAGAGGATGGAGCTGGGGAAAGTGGAATGGGACATGAGCTGGGCCAATGTGAAATGCCTGGTGCCGTGTTTGCACAATCTCCCCCTCTCACTGTGTCACTGATTTCCCTCTGGCAGGAGAAGACGGAGCCGTACTTCATTGGGATTTTCTGCTTTGAGGCTGGGATTAAGATCGTGGCCCTGGGGTTCGTTTTCCACAAGGGCTCGTACCTGCGCAACGGCTGGAACGTCATGGACTTCATCGTGGTCCTCAGCGGGTGAGTGGGGTCACGTGGGGCTGCTGGGAGGTTGGTTGGGCAGCAAGGCGTGGGGGCTCGTCCTGGTGGGGACGTGAGCTGCAGGCTGTGAGGCAGGGCCCTGGTTTGCTGTTGTCTGTGGTGGTTTTCCATCCCAGCTGGGAGGAAGGGCAGGATGGCTCCTTGTGCTGGGGGCTCTTGAGTTGGATTTGCTGTGTTGGATTTGCTGAGGGTGGGACAAGGGTCCCCATCAGGTGAGCAGGGCTGGCTCTGAGGGCACCATATCTAGCTTTCCTCAATTGGTGTCCTGACATCCGTGATCCATCTGGGCATGGGGTGAGGTGAAGACGAGGAGAACGTCCTGATAAGCAACTAGATGTGTTCTGGGAGAGGTTTTGATCAGACACTACGTGGGGAGGAGGAAAATCTCTTGCCCTTTTGCCTTCTGAAGCACTTTCTAGGATTGGCCTGGTGCTGGGGGCTTGGGAATGAGGTCAGGGTGGGGTCACGTTCCCAGGTTGTGCCTGCTCAGCATGCCAGCGTGCAGCAGTGATGCCGGGGGTGGTACCACACAGAGCTTCACAGGTGCTGCTTGTGTGTCACTGGTGGTGTCACCTGCCAGGGACATGGCCCAGATTTGAGTTCTCTTGTGATGGGCTGTGCTGGTGGCAGGAATGAGCAGGGGCATTTGGGCTTGTATTAGCTAACAGTGGCAATGTCTTGAGCAAAAGCCTCCCAGGGTGACTCCCCTCATTGTGTGGAGGGCAGGTGGGTGCCCGCAGCCACCGAGGGGCTTCAGGGAAGCAGTGCCAAGATAGTGCCTATTTTTTTTTGCCTACTGATGGAGTCATCACGTTCAGAGGAGCTGGTTTGATGTGTACAAACAGATGGTTTGTGTGGGTCTCCAAGCACTTCATGAGCTTTGCTGGGTGCAGAGGAGCTGCAGGGTAGTGTGGGAAACTGAGGCACAGGAGCCAGGTGAGAGGCCTGAAGTCTCTACGGAGCTGTTTACTGCACAGTTTTGTCTCTTGGCTCACAAGGTGCTTGCACCACACGGGACATGACTCCCATTTGGTTGTTCAGAGGAGAAAATTTGGGTGCTGAGCCTGGTGCTGCCTGGGGATGTGGTGATGGGTGCTGCTTGTCCGTGGTGGAGAGGTGCAGGTTGAGACTGTACTCGAGAGGAATCTCGAGGAAAACGTGGCCTGGGACATTGTGATTCCCTTTGTCCAATGGGGACCTGGATGGCCTCGCTGGGGCGTGGGACCATGTCTGGCTGAGAAGGCGGGGTGTGCTGGTGGTGGCGTGATGCCTTTGGTGGGGGCAGCAAACCAGCTACCTGCGGGCGGTGCAGCCCTCGCACAGGAAACTGCTGCTCTCCTGCATCTGCCAGGTGCCTCCTGGGGAGGACTCTGCGGCTCCTGGGCTGGGCAAAGTTGCTCTAATCCCCGGCCACACCTCTGGGGACAGCACGGGACTCGTGTCACCCCTTGTAGCAACAAGAGGGGCTCTCAAGCCTCACCGTGGAGCTGCGGTGCAGGGCTGAGCGCGCAGGAAGCGGGCGGGTGGCTGGGAAAATGCCCATTGGCCGTCTCCCGGTCCCGGGCATCCTTTGGGGCGTGGGCCAAGGGGAAGCACTGGGCTGGGAGGGCGGGTTTTGCTGTGGACCCGTCCCTGCCCTCCCCGCGGCTCCGAGCGAGCCGTCTGTAACCGAGCCGGTGCCGAGTCAGCGCTCGGCAATTACTCGCAAAAGCTTCGCCAGCTCCTTTGAGTGCCGCGCCGGGCCGGGCCCCGTGCCAAGGGAATCAATTGTCCATGAAAAGCTGTGAGCTCCGTGTCAGCTGCCCTGACAGGAGGTACCTGGGTCCCCCTGGCACTGCTGGTTGTGGGGAACCCCTCCAGCAGCTGTTTCACCACCATCACCCACCTTGTGTCCCGATGTTTGCTCCAGCAGAGTGGAAACTCTTCCCAAGAAACCCCCGTTTACCTACTGGCTTCATTCCGTCAGTGCTGGTGCCCTCTGGCACGGCCTCACTGATTTAGGGCAAAATCTGTTCTGTGATGGGCGGAGGAGGCAACACAGAGATTTTCATCCTGGGCTGGTTTTGGGGAGGATGGGGTCACTGGGATCAGCTGGACCGGGTCACTGGGTTCCTCTGTGCTGTTCGGCTCTTGCTTTTGCCATGTGGTGCTGACAAAGCTGCTGTTCCTCGGTACCATGGTTGTGCCTTCCTTGCAAGAAACTCTTGCCTGTTTAATCTGCTGAATTACTGGCAAATTTCTGCAGCAAATAATCCTTGGCTGGCAAATGACTTGCAAACAGCTTGTGGGAGAAGATTTGCACTTGGCGGTTCGTTCTGTGTCGGTTGCATAAGGCGGGTGGTGAAGTCTGCACGGGGGACTTGTGCGGGCGACCGGTGGGTTCGGGATTGTCTCTGCGGACTAAAACTTTCCACTTGATGAATATGCGAGTGTCTGGACAGAGGTTTGCGGAAAGTACTTCTTAGAGATCTTGTTGTCACTTACCAGGAGGCAGTGGTGTGGTGGAGGGGATGTTGCAAGCATCAGAGGTGTAGGGTAGAGCTTGCCTCAGGATGCATTGACCCATTTGGGAGGCTGATGGACCAGAGAGGATGTATGTATGAGCAGAAGCCGCCCCAGGATCCCTCCCAGAGAAACCCAGCATCATGCTCTCTGTCTGGCCCTGGTCCCTCCAAGTGTGATGCAGGATATCACTCTTCCTTTCTGGGCTTGTTTTTTGCCATGTATATGATGGGAGAGGTCCTTAATGCAGGTGGCATCATGGTCCCAGACACCACATTAGAATTTCCGTGAGAAGTGGGATTTTCTGGTGTAAATTAGCCTAATGAGGAGTTTCTCCTGTGATCAGCCTCCTAGGACCCTCTGCAGGAATGGATGGCACTGACTAGGGTTCAAGTGGTGTTTGCTTCTTGTGTCACTAAACCCAGCTTTTTTTCATCTCAGTGGAAATCGACGCCCACCTAAAGCTCCCTGAAGCTAAAGCTTCCACTGGGGAACTAATAGTCACATTTGTAAACCTGCTCTGTTTATAACCTGTGGTTTCCAAATCTTCATCGCTGCCTGAAAAAACAGCCTGTTCTCCCCCAGCTAAAAATAATTTTATCTGAAAGCGTGCATAAAATACCTTTACTCGTTCTGAGGCAGAGCCAGGGTGGGGAACATCTGTGTTTCCTTGGGGGTTGGGGATGCTCACCTTGTCTGTGCACGGACCAGAGCTGGCCAGAAGCTGAAGCTGGACTTGTGACCTGCTTGATACAGTGTGACCAGGAACAAAAAAGGAGAAAATGAGTCAGAAAGGGCAGTGGGAGGTTGGTCACCTCTTAATTGGTGGTCCTGAGAGGGGGAGGTTGAAGGACCTTCAGCCATCAGGAACTGGAGCGTTAACTCCCTGCTCCCTGGGTGCCATCAGGAAGAGAGAACAAGGACCTGCAGTTGCCTGCTGTGTGCTACACTGTATTTGAAGATGCTCATGGAATGAGAAGGGTTAAACTCCCTCTGCAAATATCCAGGTGGGTGTGTGCTTCACACACTCCAGTACGTGAGCATCATCGCACCATTGGCTTTTTTTATAGCAGTAATACAATAACACGTGAGTGGTGAAGGAGTGGGGGAACACTGCTGACAATGGGGGGAAAAGAGCAAAACGGGAATCAAAGGGCCCTCGTGAAGTTGTGCTGCTCGGGAGCCGGGGAAGCAGCTGCTGTAAAACCAGAGTAAATACACTGGGGTCACTAAAAGGAAGAGCTGGTGACAGGGTTTTTCAGAGGGTTTAATAACAGCTGCTACACCTGGGTGCCTTTTGTGAAGGCCTTGGGCACGGTGGTTTCCATTAAAGGATTTTGTGGGGTGAAGCGTGGCCAAGGAAAAGCAGGAATGAGAGATTGCTGGCGGTGCTTGCCATGCCCTTAGCAAACCCAGAGCCAACTGGATGGGCAGCAGCCTGAGCTGGAGGAGGAAAGCTTGGCTCTCCCAAGCCCTGTCCCAAAGACCAGTGTCCTCCCCCTGCAAAGCCAAGTGGCAGCCATGAGCCAGGCCCCTTCCTCTGACCTCTCAAGGAAATCCTGCACACACCTTTGCCCCGATTCCCTGCTGGGCCTGGTGTGAAGCAGGACAGAGTGTTTCTGAGAAGGTTGCTTCCTGCCATACTGCAGGTTTTGCAGTGTGAGCCCAGGGATGAGGAGGGCATTTTTGCTTCTTGTGGTGCTTGCCTGGATTTTGAGATGACTGTCTTGGAAAGTTCCTTTTCACGCTTCCTCCTGAGCTCCCCCATGGGCAGAGGCAGGGATGCTTTGCCTCCTGGTGTTTAGTGCACCTTGCACAAGTTCTGTGTGTTCGGGTGGTCTTCTTGATCTTGGAGTTCCAGAGTTGGAGGGGGAACAGAGGTTGGCAGCAGCGCTGTCTGGGAATATTCATATGCTGCATCCCCTCATGGTTTGGGGTGCTGGCCCCCATCAGTGTGCCTGGCACACCATGCATGTGTGAGAGCACAAACTTGCCACACCTGAGCTAGGAACAGGCACTTCCCCCAACACCCACACCTGCGTTTTTGTAACCAAGGGAATATAGTACAACTCCAGGCAAGGAAGCTTGGGGAAGTGGATATGAGGCTTGGAGAAGAAGCCCTAAATCAGAGTATAAGTGCAGCATTCTGACATGGTTATCCCACTGGAGCTCCAACCATGGCAAGAAGTGTTGCCCTATAGTAAAGAGACGACCCTGTGTCTAAAAGCTGAGCAATGCTTTGATCACACCAGACAGGACTTTGTTTCCTTTCATGAGTGATGCCTGCCCCATCTCTCACCCCTCTCCCAGCTCTTTCCTTCCAGGACAATTAGTGAGGTGTTTTGTCTTTCATTTGGACGAATAATTAATTTCCCAGCTCTGTGAACGTTTCATGTGCCATATGGCACGGCGGTGGGATGTGCCCGACATCGGCACCTCGTACAAAGGGCTGCGCTGTTTCCCCGGCTCGCTGAGGG